TTGAAAAATATTAAAAAGTATAATATATCGTTTGAACTTTTAATGGCAAAATAACGTTTTATTGCATTCGTCCAAACACTGTTTTCGACATCACGCGTTTTGTGTCGTATCCTCAAGACAACTTATAAAACTTTTTGGCTGCTTACCTGAAGTGAAGGAAGTTTTATTGTTTACGAGTTGTTGGTACAGAAGATTTTCAAAGTGATATTTCAGGAGACGGTCTATTATACATTATGTTTTGTTAAGCCTAGTTTTTATGGACCCCGGGTTACAACATTAGTGCACTGCAAATGTTTCAAAATATTATTGTTATAGCAGTATCATTGTTTCCGTCCTTTAAACATGTTCGAATAATTTCTATAATCTCTGCTAAATTTCGAAGTTTCAGATTTTCTTCTACTAAAAATGTGCCATGAACTTATCGTAACTAGGCAGCAATTTTATTATTATGTTTTTTTAATTGGTTTACTATTGTTGTTGTTATTATTATTATTATTATTATTATTCATGCGTAACGTATGCTATAATGTGTTACTTGTAATAAGACACTGTAACATGAACACTGCAGTTGTTACCCGACCAGATGTGTTAGAAATGCGCTACAGGTAATGACAGCAAAGCATCATGAAAGCATCACTTATAGTCTATAGCCTATAGACTAATCTACTAAGAATTAAGCTGCTGGTTCTTAATAGACTGCATTTTCACTTTCCTCCGGCCTTGACAGTCACTCCAGCATGTGTGACCCATACTGACGACGTGACCGTTATTGCAAACTTTCCGTTTCAGAGGGAAATTCTTATTTCACAATACTGTCATATTTGTTCTATAAGTATAGCCCATAGGCAATATTTTACTGCCACATAAGACCAACGCACATTTGATACTGGGATATTTTACATTGCTAATGGATCTATGCGTTAGCATGTTTTGCTGTTTCATACAGGTTTGTGCATTGCGTGTACATCAAACGGTGCAGTGTGTGTGTGTGTGTGTGTGTGTGTGTGTTTGTGTAAGAGAGAGAAAGAAAGAGAGACGCATCCTACACCTCTCTTTGAATCAGTCTGAGGGGTAAAGTCTCAGTGTATATCACATTCCCGACTGGACCCGCACATTAAACCACCGAGGCATGATTCCTTTTCTCTTCCATATTTCCTTATCAGCTCCTTCACCGTTTCATTTCTTTCACATGAGAATTCAGGCCCCCAAATTCAAGGCCGGCGCTTCAAACAACAGCACTGCGGTTTACTTTTCTTCTGTCCAAATGCTATCCCAGATCCAATTTTAGATAGACGAGGCTTCAGCAATGATGCTTTTATGAGTTTCCGAGAGAGAGAGACAATAGTTAAAATTTTAAAATGAGATCAGCGTTACACCAAACCCAATATATTGCAGTATTAAAATGTAATATGTCTCACTAAATTTTAATTGAGATAAGCATGTGTTTCACTTCTGTAAAATAGCAATTATAGAACAACAATCATAAAATATATTGTCATTATAATATGTATTATATATTCGAAATATATTTTTATCAAAAATAATTGCTTTATAAATATTAATAATAAACAAATCTCAGGGCATGGTTTCACAATATTAACAAAAAGTCGTTTTTGTTTTCTCCCTCAGCGCGCTGAGCTGATTTTAGTTTTCAATGAAATAGGCCTAGAAAATTAGCATGGCAAGATTCAGCGCAAGATATTTATACGCTACATATTAAACTGAATACTGCGCCCACGATTTCAGGGTGATATTAGGAGACAATAATGCAAATGACCCATGGCATTCAATTAAAAGTGTCATGTCCCCTCACTTTTGTTTCATGTGTTTTATATTTTTTTATATTTATATTTCCACTAAAGTGTTTGAGAAAGAAAGCGCCTTGTGTCTTCCTCCTCATTGAATTTTATCACTAAATGAAGCATATAAATGATCTGAAAGCACAGCCTGTCGCATTAAATTACATAAAATAAAGAACAATTATCCTCTCTTTTTCTCTGATCTCCTGCTGAAAGGAGTCTTGGCGAGATAAGGCAGATTGAATTCGGGCTCTCCGTTGAGCTCAAATAAAAACGTCTCGGAGAAGAGCTACAGATTTAGGGCTCTATAATTTCAAATCCTAATTTTTACCTCTTATTTTTTCCCCCCAGTTGGGTTTTGTTTGCGACGTTTTATTTCCACCGAATGCTTGAGAAAATAGTTCAAAATGGCTGCAGTGATCACAGTTGATTAATAGCTGTGAAGGGCTCATAAATTAACATCTAATTACACCCACATGCTATGAACTAAACATAAAGCCCTGGATTGTCATTCATATTCAGGTCTTGTGGTTGTTCATCTAGTTCAGTTTGTCATTTTGTTTATCATGTTATGTTGCCTTGTTCAATCTGTCAAAATATGAAATGATTTTAGAGACTTCCGTGCTGACCGGACGCTGAGCTGAATTCTCATTCTCAGTAAAAAATTAAGATATGAAAGGGTTTAATTTAAGTTCAGATCTTGTTGTTTAAATAATCTAGTAATGCAAAAGAACACACGTTTCCCGCATTCCTTTTAGAAATGCTCCTTAAAGTTCCCTAATTATCATCGTCCAATTTCAAAGTTGAATCTGCATGCTTTAGGGGGCTGATGTAAAACTTGCTATTCGGTTCAATGGAGTATCACCCTAATTTACAGCGGCAGATAAGGGCACAGTCTGTCATAAAAATCTGAGCCCCCTCCCTTCCTTATATTGAATTGCACCTTGGGCAATAGTGCAGAATCGTGAATCTTAACTTCTTCCAGCATATGTTCCTGGCAGATAAGTAAACAATCTGGATGTGAAATTACATTTTTAATTAATACAGTAATGCTATTACACCTCGGTGTGCAAATCCCATTCCCCATCCCTGCGACAATAGACAAAAGTACAGGCCAATTCCAATCCTCTGTTTGCAGCCCAAACCCAATTGTTCTGCGAGCTTGTTTCCTTTGAGTGAATCCCATTCTCCATTCACACATCTGCTTTAGTTTCAGCAGCACTTGTTTTTGTAATACAGGAGGAGAACTTGTATCAACTGTGTTGAATTACAGTATTATATGAATCTTGACAAATTGGGAAAGACATATAGACTAGCAGTTATTCTGAACGAGTAACTACTAGTATCATTGTTCTTGTTGTTGTTGTTATTATTATTATTATTATTATTTAGAGCGTATTAAAAAAAAGATGTATAGGATAGATATTTATTTTGCGAAAGTAGATAAGAATTTACGGGCAAGTAAAATCCATAAGCAAAGTCATCAATCAAATTTTACATGTAGACTTACTGAAGAAGGTGTTAATTAATTTGTTTTGAGAAACTTATAGCAGCGTTGTTCTGACCGTAAAGTGTTGGAATGATCTAAGCGGTGGAACAGGTGGAACAAGCATAGAGCCCCTGAAGGGTGAAACGTCTCATACACAACCACACATCAAAAAGAGTGTGATCGCCTTATTTCAGAGACATGACACACACCTTAACGCAGAAAGTTTTACACTCTGAACACAGCAAGACGCGCGTATTTACAGACAAATATGACTTGACAATATACTAATGAAAGAAAGAAAGAAAGAACGAAAGAAAAAAGAAAGAAAGAAAGAAAGAAAGAAAGAAAGAAAGAAAGAAAGAAAAAGACGTCAACGAGCCGAATGGAAAATTGAGATGGTAATGCACACTGGCAGCCTCTACATCTGCAGACTTCTCCAATGTGTCACAGCGCGTCTGTAGGCGAAAATCGGCACAGATTTTGAAGCACCTGACGCTTTGTTCAGTTGTTTTTATTGGGAATTGTTTTGTAATAGTAAATGACATGGTTTATACTCGTACCACCCCTTCTTCAGTCCAATTTCCATCCTATTGTGGGTCTCGGGGTAAATCACAATTCAGGTTCGCCCTCAGTTTCCCTAAGCGTCCCTGTACAGTAATTGTTTTGCCATTTAATTTGGACCGGCGGTCCCTATAGAGCAGACGGGAACGCCACGCGCTGACAGAGTTCATCTCAAATCTATGCCGAAAAGCCAGATGGTTATTAGACAGCGTCCGCCGAAACGTTTGACTATTTAAGCAGTACTGATTGAGAAGATAATTATTGTAGATATCTAATCGGTGTAAGATCAATTTCAGTTTTATGTTTAGCAGTTAAGGCCTGTGCTGTTCTCTCGGCCCGACAAAATTCATTATATTTTAACGCACAAATAAAACCCGCTTATGTAAGTTAATATACAGCTGGAAGAGTAAACATTATAAAACGCATGTTTGGGATCACCGTACTTACTACTGACATGCCTGCTACCTTTTGGCACGACTGTATAAGAGCATAGCAAAAAGAAGATTCATAAATAGTTTAAACAGGCAATGTAACAAGGATTATGAATTTTTAAGACAGATTGTCTTTATTCAAAATGTCTTTGCTCGGCAAATGAACAAAGAATCGAGGTATCACCCTTTTAGATACATTTTCCTTTCCATTAACATGATAGGATTTAAGTTACCATCGCAGATAAAAAATACAACATGAACTGCTTCGCTTCAAACTTTATGTTCTTTCTGAAATCAAATGAACGAGTGACTATCACTGAACCACAGGAGAACAAAAAAATGTCCAACTGAAAAATATTGAAGGATAAGGTTTTTTTCTTTTTCATTTGATATTTTAAATAGACCGTCTACTTTTAGGTGCCGGTTTGATCATTATAAACAGTATGACCCGTATAATCTATTAAACGCTGAATTTCTCACTTTGAAATCCTTAAAGTCGTATCATTTGAATTTCAGAGTGCCAAAAAAGAATGGTAAATACAACAGGCTATACAAGAAACATGAATCCTAACCGTTAGTTGTGCAAATCAAAGTCATTCAAATAATAATAATAATAATAATAATATGATGAGAATAACAATTATATTACGTGTTCAAACAAAAGTAGCATTATTATAGCATCGAATTGTACATAATAAATAAAATTAAAGTCATCCAAATCCGGTAGCTATAATAATAAACGTTTGAACATTTACATTTCTTACAGTTCTGGGCACCTGCCTTACATCTATTCCAAGATCCAAGCTGGGATCCAAGGAACCTCTCGTAGATGGTGAAAAGTTCATGTCCACACGGCCTCAGTATAAATGTCTTGATCATTCCTCTCTTCTTATGTACATGCATTGCTGTATTCAAGTTTTCAAAAGAGGAGACTGTTTTTAGTGGTGAAGTCACATAGCAGCGGCATGTGCTGCTGAGTACGGGTCAATCCCACTCTTGGTCATACCTGGGAACAGTATGTAGGCAACAGGCGGCTGTAAACTCGATGCCGACCATGCGGTGCAGTTACACGGCACCACGTACCCAGGGTTTGTGGGCGACGGGTGGGTGTGGGTGTGCTGGCTGGGGCAACCCAGGCTCCCGAATGCGCCGTTCTGGTATCCCAGAGAAGATGCGTAAGGTAAAGTGCTGGTGGCCAACGTGTGGGGCATCTCTGTCATCTTCTGGATAGCGCTGGAGCTGAACTGACTCGGGTCGAGGAAGGAGTAAGGGGCTGATGTGTGCGGCAGGAACGCACGGGCTTTTTCCGAGGAACCTAAGAGCGAGTCCGTGGCTGAGAGCGGAAGTCCTTTCAGGTGATCCGTGTCGCCCAGGTAGGGCAGAGGAAACACGTACCTGTCCTTCTTGAGGAGGTTCTTGGGCTTGCGCCTGGGTCTGTATTTGTAGTCTGGGTGTTCTTTCATGTGTTGCGCCCTCAGCCTCTTGGCCTCGTCGATGTATGGTCGCTTCTCGGATTCAGAGAGCAGCTTCCATTCGGCGCCAAGTCTTTTGCTTATTTCTGAATTGTGCATTTTGGGATTCTCTTGAGCCATTTTCCTCCTCTGGCCTCTTGACCAGACCATGAAGGCGTTCATGGGTCTCTTGATGTGATCTACCGGCTTTGACATTTTTACGGTTCCCTGTTAAAATAAGAACAAAAAGTTCTTCGACCAACCAAGAGAAAATAGTATTCACCTGTCCTGCAGACAGACACGGATCATGCCACTTCTGGAGAGCCGGAGGAGTAGGAAAACGGAATCAATGGGAGAAAAATCCACTAATTCTTCCGTGTTTGTCGCAAAGCTGAAAGATTTCTCTTCTTCAAAACGACACTATTCGGCTGAGAGGAGAACAGTCACGCGCGCCACAAAATCCAGCGCGGCAAGCGAAGTTTCCGCGATCTGTTTGCGCGCTTTTTTTTCTCGGAGGATTCTCGCCCCGTGAAGCACCTGGCTGGGAAATGAGGAGAATCGCGTGAATGAGAGCCAAAAGCGGTGAAGTTCAAAGGCTGGGCTGGTTCGCTCTGCACGCGATCTGACATAATCGCAGGGCGTTCACGCGCCAACCTGAGCGCCCAATCAGCTCTGAGAAAGCCACATAATGCCTACCAAAATATGTATATTACAACACAAACAAAGATCGGGGAGGAAAAGGAGGTGACTCTCTTCCCTCCCCAAATCCATTTAGTTGAAGGTCTACAAACACAGACCTTCAACCTTTTTGTAATAAAACCTGACACCTACCAGCGTCAATCCTTCAGAGACGACAGATGCCTGAAGAATAGACAAATTCTTATTTTAAACATCGCTGTCCTTATGCGGACATGGTTCTACGTGTGCACTTAAAGTTAAGCTTTATTTACTTAAGGTATTATTTAATTTGTTATTATTGACCATTTATCTGACGTTTATCTTCTTTTTATTACTATTACTTATGATTCCTTTTACAACCGATTTGTTTTTATTAGTTTTTTTTTTATAACAGTACATTATGAGCGGATATGGCAAGTTTAATCATTAAAACCTCAATGCGCGAATACTGAAATGTCTAAACAAGATTAATAATGAAAAGACAAACGGTTTTAGAGATCTCTGAAAATAAGCGTGCTGTCTGAGGCAGTGGCCCCCAGGCCAATATTTCCTAAATGAGAACAATTGTCCAAAGCTCTCCTGAGACAGGCTGGGTTGGGGCTTGCACCTGTTTTGCTGCTGTAATCTCACATGTGTAGAACATGCCCATGGACACTTTCTGAATGGTAACATACCCACGCAAATTTGGCATTGTGAAAACAATGCCAGTTGCTCATAGAATCATTACATGCCACAAATAATGAAACGCAAATGAAAACCTTGCGCTGGGTGATGTGTTTTGTTTTCATCTGTTAATATTTCTTATAATATAATATTAGATAGTCTGGCAGAAATTATTTATTAAATGATTCAGATTTCATGTAATTGCTTTAATCATTAGATGCATGGTCACAGTAAAGTTGCTTAATTATTTCCTGTAGAGCATATTTTACATTGAAGCTGCGGTTAATTATCCCTGTCTTTCTCATGATCTCTGTCTCCTTTTCTCTTTTATATATGACAAATACACTTCCGAATTCATTTATAATTGTCAAAATCCACCCAGATGTGTGAACGGAAGTATTAGGCAACTAATTCAAGGTAATGTTTTGTGCTAAGGTTCGCGCACCAAAACCTTTAACATGCAAATTTGAGTGTTTAAAAAAGATCAGGGTCTTAATGAGCCTGAGGCAAGGAGCTTGATATATGAGAGGCACGGGTGTAATTATTAAGTGAAATGTATAAGATATGTGATATCTCGTGGAGAGGCCTTCAAGCGTGACACGAAGAGGGATCTGTAATTTAGCACATGAACATATATTGTTTCTATCGTATTACACGATACAGCTTTATTTCAAAACATGCAGGTATTAATCTAAATGTTGAGAGATAAATGCCGTACGTATGTATGCATTCCAATAAGTATTAATTAATTTTTTTTTTTTTTTTTTTTCTTATTTATCGTTTTGTCTTTTTTTTTTGTGTGTTGG